CTGCTGTCACTGAGTTTGACAAATGATCCACAATGTTCCATGAACATTCCAACAACATTCCAACACAAGACAATTATCTTGGATATTATGGTACCAAAATGGCCACCATCAAATGATCAAACAGAGTTTGTTGAACTGTATATCTATGACTGTGGCTGCAGCCTGTCCTCTTCAGATAGATACAGCTGATAGGCCAACCCAGTAAGGGGGTTGATGATGATTCCATCAGCTGAAGTTTAACTGGATCCAAACCTGACCTCAAGTGGTCAAAGGAGATGGAGGAAGAACATTGGCTCGTACACACACACACACACACACACACACACACACCAATCAGTATCCTATGGCTGCTAGCAATAATTGCCCCTCAGGGATGAATAAAGTAGATTGTATTTAATTGAATCACAGTCCTGTAATCCGATCAACACAGGTGGGTAAAGAGTGAACAGACTTCCACTTCTTTAGATATGGATGCATATTACTAACTGCAATGAATGAACTCCAATTCTGTACTTTCTCTTTCTCTCAATTTTTCTGTGTGTTGGTAGTAAGGATTGTGGAATCTAAATATTGTGGAATCTAAATATTGTGGAATCCTTGCTTCTGTTCATGTATGATCGATAACTGTTGAGAGAGCGTGTTTTTTATTTTATTTTTTTATTTAACCAGGTAAGCCAGTTGAGAACAAGTTCTCATTTACAACTGCGACCTGGCCAAGATAAAGCAAAGCAGTGCGATAAAAACAACAACACAGAGTTACATATGGGGTAAAAAAAGTCAAAAAAATAAAACAGAAAATATATATACAGTGTGTGCAAATGTAGCAAGTTATGGAGGTAAGGCAATAAATAGGCTATAGTGCAAAATAATTACAATTAGTATTAACACTGGAATGCTAGATGTGCAAGAGATTATGTGCAAATAGAGATACTGGGGTGCAAAAGAGCAAAATAAATAACAATATAGGGATGAGGTAGTTGGGTGGGCTAATTTCAGATGGGCTGTGTACAGGTGCAGTGATCGGTAAGGTGCTCTGACAACTGATGCTTAAAGTTAGTGAGGGAGATAAGAGTCTCCAGCTTCAGAGATTTTTGCAACTCGTTCCAGTCATTGGCAGCAGAGAACTGGAAGGAATGGCGGCCAAAGGAGGTGTTGGCTTTGGGAATGACCAGTGAGATATACCTGCTGGAGCGCAGACTACGGGTGGGTGCTGCTATGGTGACCAATGAGCTAAGATAAGGCGGGGATTTGCCTAGCAGTGATTTATAGATGGCCTGGAGACAGTGGGTTTGACGACGAACATGTAGTGAGGACCAGCCAACAAGAGCGTACAGGTCACAGTGGTGGGTAGTGTATGGGGCTTTGGAGACAAAACGGATGGCACTGTGATAGACTACATCCAATTTGCTGAGTAGAGTATTGGAGGCTATTTTGTAAATGACATCGCCGAAGTCAAGGATCGGTAGGATAGTCCGTTTTACGAGGGCATGTTTGGCAGCATGAGTGAAGGAGGCTTTGTTGCGAAATAGGAAGCCGATTCTAGATTTAACTTTGGATTGGAGATGCTTAATGTGAGTCTGGAAGGAGAGTTTACAGTCTAACCAGACACCTAGGTATTTGTAGTTGTCCACATACTCTAGGTCAGACCCGTCGAGAGTGGTGATTCTAGTCGGGTGGGCGGGTGCCAGCAGCGTTCGATTGAAGAGCATGCATTTAGTTTTACTAGTGTTTAAGAGCAGTTGGAGGCTACTGAAGGAGTGTTGTATGGCATTGAAGCTCGTTTGGAGGTTTGTTAACACAGTGTCCAATGAAGGGCCAGATGTATACAAAATGGTGTCGTCTGCGTAGAGGTTGATCTGAGAGTCACCAGCAGCAAGAGCGACATCATTGATATACACGGAGAAAAGAGTCGGCCCAAGAATTGAACCCTGTGGCACCCCCATAGACACTGCCATAGGTCCAGACAACAGGCCCTCCGATTTGACACACTGAACTCTATCTGAGAAGTAGTTGGTGAACCAGGCGAGGCAGTCATTTGAGAAACCAAGGCTTTTTAGTCTGCCAATAAGAATGCGGTGGTTGACAGAGTCGAAAGCCTTGGCCAGGTCGACGAAGACGGCTGCACAGTACTCTCTATTATCAATCGCGGTGATAATATCGTTTAGGACCTTGAGCGTGGCTGAAGTTCACCCATTGTTCTTGTGTGTGTATAATGAATGTGTGTGTACTAGGGGTATGACACTTCAACTGTTGCTGAGTCGAGGGGAAAGATTAGCACTGCAGTGTGAGAGGGTGAGTGTGTCTTCTGGCCTCGGACTTGAGAGTTATGCATTGTGTCACCTCCGGATAGGACAGTAGTTGGATAACTCACACTAGAGCTGGGGCGATAAACTGAAAATGATCGACACGACCTTACCGACCATGCTGATATTGTTCATTACGTTAAGTAGCCTATACTAGAGAAATTTGAAGTTTTGAAATTAAATACGCTTTGTTAATATGGGTGATTGTTAATGGGACAAGTGATGGCTACAACAATGAAACTAGTAGTAGTAGTTTAAAGGGTAATAAAACAAAACGTGGTGCACATTAATGTTAGAAACGTATCGTTCTATTTATCATTATCGCATCAATTCAAGTAATTTAGCGCAGCTGGATCGCGCAGCTCTAACTAACACACCCACACACTCCTTGGGACTGCCTCTGTTTATTCCTCTCGATTATCTCTCCTGCCACTCCTCTGCAATCAAGACCTATTAGCAGCACATTAGAAAAAAATATCAGCTTAATCTTCCTCTCTATAATACCTTATCCCTTTCCTCTTATATAATAATAATAATAATAATATGCCATTTAGCAGACGCTTTTATCCAAAGCGACTTACAGTCGTGCGTGCATACATTTTTTTTTGTGTATGGGTGGTCCCGGGGATCGAACCCACTACCTTGGCGTTACAAGCGCCGTGCTCTACCAGCTGAGCTACAGAGGACCACACTCTTAATTCTGTCCCTTTTCTACTCACTTTCTTTTCTATAGTGAGCCTCTATGTGTTCCCTCCCTCTCTTTTCTCTGTATTCCCTCCCTCTCTTTTCTCTGTATTCTTGTCCATGGGCCCTGGTCAAAAGTAGGCAATAGAGTGCAATTCCAGACTCAACCCTAATGTGTTTGTTTAGCCTATGTTTGTTGCTTTTGAATAACATCTGTGTTGACATGAAAGAATGGACTTTACTCCTGTATGGCTCTTTCTCCAACGCTGCAGTCTCTTACTGTTGATAGTGTATCTCAACTGGATAATGCAAACGTCCATTTGGGTCATATGGATCTGAGTCAGTCTTAGTTTAAACAAAGCTCTCTCACCAGCATTCACTCAAATGTTGCCCTCTTGCCAAAGCATGACCTCCATATGGTGCCATTACATTTAATATCTACATTTATGGTACGTAAGTAATAATAACTAATAACCTCACCAATTTGGCATACGGTATTACTAGGTCAAATATTTATGTGTAATTATGGGTATTGATGAATGGTAGCCATCCTCTTCAACATGCATGCATCCATGCTCACACAAACACGTGCGCACGCACGCACACAATTAAAAACACACATAATTAAAAACACAGTATATACATAGTTGATGCATGCAGCCATGCACTATTCTTCAATAAACAACATAGTATTGTATGTCTGTGTACAGCTCTGTGAAGTTGTATACCACAGACCCAGAATGTTTTCCATCTCCTCACTGGAAATATGACTCTGGCCTCTGACATTTTAGAACCCACTTCCTCCCCCCACTTGTCTCCTCTCCTCCTCCACTCCCTGTCCCTCTCTCTCTCTCCCCTTCTCTGTCTGTCTCTGTGCCAGTGTGCCAGTCTGTGTTTGGAAGCCCTCGCTCATATCAGATTTGTATATTTATCTCCATGCCTCCACTCCGCCAGGCCCCATCGCCTAATAAGGCCTGTTTAGGGAGAGAGAGAGGAGGAGCGAGAAAGGGAGAGAGAATGAGAGGGTGGGAAAGGTTTGGACAATGCGATTCCAGACTATTTTCCCACGTGTGTGTGTGTGTACTCGGTTGCTGCCTGTGAGTGTGTGCACTCGGTTTGCTCGGTCGGTACATTATATTTGCTGCTATTTTACTACTGATTACACTCGTATGAGCAAGTAACATAAAGACATTAAATAAGAATTCTCCATCCCAGACCTCACCAGTGATGCATATTGTTCATAATGTGGCTTTGTGTTGTGTGGGAGCAGTGTATAGTACTATGTACAGTGAGTATAGTACTTCAAAGGTGAATCCCCTTGATTCAATGTATATCTGTGTATGGTTATTGTAAGACCATATCATTGCACTGACTCAAATTTGTGTGCCATGCTTCCCCACAATGCACTTCAAAAGCTGGGAGGTGAATAGGCATTGTTTCCTGTACAGTACCCTCTGTACATACAGAAAAAGCCTTGTGCTAACAGTCCCTGTCCTGAAATACAAGCCCAAACCACCTTCCCACATCCTGCGTTCTCTCCTCTCTTTCACTATCGCTTTTTCCTGGGTGTTTTCTCCAACAACTGTAACAGCTTTTCTGGAAGTCAGGGGGAGATTTTGCTTTCAAGTGCTTAGTGCTGCTGACACACTGGTGTACTTCTCATAGTGTGGTATCCCTTCTGTGAACTGTCACCTGGTTCCTTTAGCTCTTAACCATGCGGTGTATTGAATTACCACTATATTCAGGGTCCTTGCTATCCGGAATCCTTGGGACGTCCCAACTCTGACGTTACCCCATTGAAGTTGACATTTAAAATTGGCATGGTAAGGGTTAGGTTTAGGTAAGGGTTATTGTTAAGGTTAGGGTAAGGGTTCTGGTCAAGGTTAGGGTTTATGGTAGGGACGTCCCAAGGATCCCGGATAACACTAACCCTATTCAGTCTAGTCATGTTAATGAAGGCCCCCTATACGGTATCTCTCAACATCCCTCCTCCCGTCCCCTTCTATCCTACAGAAATGCCCCTTCACAATATGGACACCCCGAGGAGCCGATGGGAGCATGGCTTGCGGCCGCCGTGGGTCACCCGATTGGCTGGAGGGCAAAGCCCCGCCTCTTCGGGGACGGAGTCGGACACAGAGAGCAGCAGCACAGAGAGTGAGAGGGTAAGGAGGAGTGGGTCTCACTTTGACTTGCGTCAGGTGGTTGGTTGTTTTATACTGGTAATGTGGTCAGAGTCAGATGCTGCTATCCAAAGCGACTCAACATATACATCAGTGTATGTGTCCAACGCTGGAATTGAACCGATAACTTTGGTGCCGCAGTCATCGCACTCTAACCAACAGAGCCAACGGAATGACTTTTAGATCCAGGTTGAATCTCTTTTAAATCGTCTGTGTGCGTTTCTTCTCCACCCCTCAGTCTCCAGCCAAACGTTTAGAGGCGGGGTCAGCGAGGATCCTACCGTTGCCCTCCATGCTGCAACAGCGAATCACAGAGATCGACCAGCAGAGGGAGGAGCTAAAGATAGAGGCGAGACACTGATGGATTCATGAATGAACTCAAGGGCCTGATTGTGTCTTATATCAAACAATTTTTATGAAGTGTGGTGGCTTGTTCAGTAAATGTATCTGATGAAGTCTGATTAGGCACATTCTGCATCCTTCATTGTGGGACTAACCTCTCTCTCTCTCTCTCTCTCTCTCTCTCTCTCTCTCTCTCTCTCTCTCTCTCTCTCTCTCTCTCTCTCTCTCTCTCTCTCTCTCTCTCTCTCTCTCCTGTCTGCCACTCCAGCTGCAGCTGGAGATAGCCCTGTTGGAGGGGGAGCTGCAGGAGGAGCGGAAGGAGCTGCACAGACACACGCTGTATCTACAGACACTGCAGGAGGAGGAGGAGGAGGGCAGGCACAAGGAGACACACAGACAGACAGACAGACAGAAGGTCAGTAGCACTGTACACACAAGGAGCATAAGGAGCCAGACAGACAGACGGTTAGCGGTACACAGACAGAGCTCCATTCTCTACCATCCAAAGCATACTGTCTTCAGGCTCGAGAGTGATATGGCCTGAACGTGAGTAGCTATGGTAGTGAGGTAGATACTGAGTTGCTCCATGTGACACTTTACACTATAGGCCTAAGCTATGTAATATTGCAATGATCTTACAAACAGATGGATCTTTATATAAAGAGATGACTGTTTCCTCTCTCATCCCTCATCCTCCTCTTTTCTCTCTCTCTCTGTAGGAGCGAGCCAGCCTGGAGGTGGAGAGGGCCCGGGTTGAGGAGCTCAGGAGGAGGTTGGAGAAGAAGGAGACACTGATCCCCAGTCAGCCAGAGGGCCAGAGAGAGCAGCTACTGATCCAACTACAACAGGTTATTTACTGATCCAGGAACAGTGCACTGACTGGGGTGGTATTCATTAAGGCACGCAATGTTTTAAAACATTTTGCAAAACAAAAATAAAATGAGCGCTTCTTAAGTCCAGGTTGTCCCTACCTGTTTCAATCCGTTTTCTTCCGTTTGGTACCTTATGAATAGTACCCAGCTAACTGATATTATGCCTTGCCACTAGACTGCGTGTAAAAGAGAATGCACTGCCTGTTTGTCTGTCTAGATGTAGTGGCGGTCGTTCACAGGTAGCAGCCTGGCAGAGTGGCATCACCTGCCCTGAGACCTGAAGTGAAGTCAACTTTGTGCAGTGGAGAGCTAGCTTTTGGTCTAGCCTCATATACAGTTCAATTCAGGTGCTGGTGACAGCATGGTCTCAAACTGCCTCTGGTTGGAACCCATTTAACATCATGTGTTCTAATTCTAATCTCTCTGGTCATGGTTATGAAGGAGTGCATGAGAACTCAAGGGGAAAGAAGAGGAAAGAGTGCACGAGGACATGAAGAAGAAGATACAGTATAACAAACAACATCGCCATAGAACATAACCCTAGCCACATTCACAACGCACTGCCTTGGGACATGACAGCTAGCTAAGCTTGCCTCAGGGGCACAAAGACATAGTTCCGTGCTATTTGTGTTAAGTTACTGTGTGTTCTTTCTTGTCGGCGGTACTAGTTATCTTTGTAGTACTGATTCTACCTGATATGTCAAAGTGTCAGAGAGGTATCTGAGACAGACAGGCAGGCAGACAGAGGGTTCATTGTGCATTTTGGCAGTGACACTGTCATGACGTGTCATTCTGATGACAGAGGATGTGTCCCACATGGCACCCTATTTCCTATATAGTGCACTACTTTTAACAAGAGCCTTATGGGCCCTTGTCAAAAGTAGTGTACTATATAGAGAATATGATGGCCTTTGGGACACAAGCTAGAGACCTAGGACTTGGTTTATGGTCTGTGTTTAATGAATGGTCTTGAATGGAGTGGTCGGACCAGTTGTTTTTTGTTTTAGCGTTCTGAGCCACAGGCTCTTTCTGTACTAATCGACAGCTTTCTTCCATTTTCTGTTTGTTCCTCTCCTTCTGCATCTTTCTTTCATCACTTTCTCTCTCTGCATCCCTCATCATGCTCTCTTTTTCCCTCTATCTCACTCTGTTCCATCGCTCTTTCCCTCCATCTCTCTCTCTCCCTCATCCCTCTCTCTTTCTCTCTCTCTGTTCATCTCTCTCTCTCCCTCCGTCCCGCTCTCTTTCTCTCTCTCTCTGTTAATCTCTCTCTCTCTCTGTTAATCTCTCTCTCTCTCTGTTAATCTCTCTTTCTCTCTCTCTGTTCATCTCTCTCTCCCTCCATCCCTCTCTCTCTCCTCCAGGAGAAAGAGATGGTGGATGCAGCCGGCCGGGTGTTCGAGGACTGGGAATTCCGTGTCCTGGAGAGCGAGGCCGGAATAGAGGAGGAGGAGAGCGAAGGAAAAATAGAAGAGAAGGAGAGAGGGAACGAGGAAGATAAGGAGAAGGAAATCTCATGCCAAAAGCATGCTGTCAACTCAGCGCAGGTAAGCCAGTGTCGACAGATAAGAAGACAACAACATTTCAGAGAATCTCACAGCTCCAAGCTGGTTCTGCTAGTTTGGTTAGAAGCTTATCCCCTGTCATGTGATATAAGTCACTGTTTACACTTCCTGAGTGATGCTGGACTAACCACCATTCAGGTTTCCCTTGAGTATTCTCTCCTTAGATCTCATTCAGGGTAGAATTCATTAAGGCACAATGTAGCAAAATTTCTCCCCACTCTGTTCCCCCAACGGTATAGTCACTCTCTGTTTGGTAACGGCTCCTTACAAGTAACCCCCCTCCCCCCATCCTCCTCCTCTCAAACGGTGACTCTACGGCATCACCCTCCACTGTCACATGACTGCCCAAACAAGTTAGGTAATTGCATCAGAGGCCGCTGTCGGAGGGAGGGAGGGAGCAAAGAGAGAGAGAAAGTGGAGAAAGATGTATAGATGAAGGGAGAGCTGGTCAATTGAGGAAATGGAGGAGGAAAGGAGAGGGACTAAAAGTAGAGAATGGAGAGAGAAGGTAAAAGAGGTATGGTGAGAGTGGGGGGGGGGGGGAGGTTGAAGGATTGTAGTGTGAGGGAGAGAGAAGAAAGAAAGAGGATAAACTTAGGATATCATGTGATGAGGTGGGAGAATAGAGAGAGAGATGAAACAAGTGATAGTGACGGAAAGAGGGGAGGAGAGTGAGTGAGAGAGAGTTGATTCAGCTGCACTGTGGCCTTGCTTGGGTTGACAGCTTATCCTATACCCATCTCTCTCTCTCTCTCTCTCTCTCTGTCTCTCTCTCTTTCTCTATCCCCTCCTCTCTGACATATTTACTGTGCTGAGCTGACATCAGTAATTCTTTCTTCCCTGTCATCTCTCACTCCTCTCCTCTGTCATATTCATCCTTCATCTCCTCTCATAACTCAAATGGATGTTAGAAGGTGTGCCATTGAACATACCTAGAGTAACTAACTATTGACATAAGACATGAGACATAAGAGATAAGATAATGTGCATATTTAAAACAACAACTCTATAATAATAACAACAACATTATCTGTCTAACATGCCACTGAACATATAGTACATGAATTACAGGAGACAGAATGATGCGATGTTTAATATTAAGTGCCTGACATTTCATTTGTTTGATTTTTTTCTTTATTCATTGATTTCTTCAGGAGCGAGTCGAGCAGCTTGAGAAGCAGTTGAAGGAGATGGAGACAGAGAAGGATAGAGAGATGAATGCCTTCAGGAAGGAGAGGAGAGAATTGCTTCACACCAGTCAAAGGGTAATAAGGGATCAGAGACTTATGATCAGCAAATGTCAGAACTTTAACTTTATTTATTAATTATTTATCAGGGAAATTATTATTATGTCTTATATTCCCCAGTGGCTCAATTATGATAAAAAATGATACATTAAATTAAGTGTCTGAAGTCCCCGCTTGTGCCATCAAACCCCTGCAACTTATCCAGAACACTGCAGCCCGCCTAGTTTTGAACCTTCCCCAGTTCTCTCATGTCACCCTACTGATCTACTGATAGCTACGTTATTGAGGAAAAATGTACTTTCTATGCCTGGGATATGTGGTTGTCCCACCTAGCTATCTTAAGATGAATGCACAAACTGCGTCTGCTAAATGACTAAAATATCATATGTAAATGAAGTGCTTGGAAGCTAGATAAGAATGTCCATTGTTCCAGTGTTTTTATTCAATATTCATAAAGGTTGTCTGAAGCGCCAAAGTGTGTGATTTGTCAACTCCCTGCTTGGACAGTGATATGGTTTGTTATTGGACCAATGACATGCCTTTGATTATAATTATGACAGGGCAAGTTGAAAAGGGGGAGGAGACTAGTTAGAGACAGGGAAAGAGCACAACTGAACATAGAGCGAGAGAGAGAGAGAGGCATGACTGAAGAAAGAGAGGGAGGGAGGGAAGAAACAGAGGGAAGGGAAAAGCAGAACAGGGGAGGGTGACTATGAGGGAGAGAGAGAGGGAGTGAGAGAAATAAGCTGAGATAATTTAAAAGAGACGCAACAACACCGGTAAGCTGAGAGACACCACAAATCAAATCTGCATGCATCAAGTGTGTTTAGATTGGGTTAATCAGAGACAGCATTTAATACAGGCTAAGTGTGTCAGTTAATACTAGGACGAGAGAGGGAGCGAGGGAGTGGCAGATAGGGGGAGAAAGGAAGGACAGACTGTGTGTTTCTGTATGACTGTGTGTGAATGCAATATGACTTTGAATGACATGCTAGTGTACTCATATGGGTAGTAGTCATAAATAAGAAGAGATGGAAGTGTTTTTGGCAGAGGGAAATTGATTTCATTGCTCATCCAGCCACGAGAGAGAGAGAGAGACTAAAAGAGAGAGAGACTAAGAGAGAGAGAGAGACTGAGACGGGTTAACAGAGAATGCATGCCGCTTCTGAATTGCTCATGTGTCTGAGTCAGGGAGAAGGGGAGGGAGGGAGGGAGGGAGGGAAAGAGAGATATAGTGAGAGGGAGATAATGTTTAACTCATTAGGGTGGTTCCTGAGAGCTAGCTTGTGTTTTCCATTCTCAGTGACGTGTATGAATGTATTTTACAACTTGTTACACTCCCACTATGTAATTTCATTATGTGTTATGGCTAAATGTTGACACAAACAACTTAGTGTGTCGTGTGGTCATCCAAGTCTTATGACTTACGGTCTGTCCTACCTAACTGACATGTCGAGGTCATTATAACAACATTCACTTGTCTCTTTTTCACTCTCCTCTTCACGGCTGAGTTTATGTCATAACCGGTCATATAATGGTCATACTCCCATCTCTTATCAGGTCTTGAAAGAGAAGAAGCCGCTCACTGATTGGTCCAACATCCCCAGCTCGGTCCCTTGCATGATGTCACTCTCGCCGCTGACCATTCACAAGTCACCTCAGGTATGTTGCCGTGTCAATGATCATGTTTGCCAGTTGTATGTGACACATACATAGACACTGATTTGATTCACTTGTTGTTTTTCTCCCAGTAATGTACAGAAACACAAACTCACAGTGTTATTCCCTAACTTCAGGAACAAGCCAAAGAATCCGTCAGTTTGCCCCGGAGACGGAGTTCGCACCGCAACAACAAGCTCGCCGATAGGCCGGTCTCGGCGCAAGGTGAGCTATGATTGGTGTTTAATTATGAATTCCTTTGTGTTTTTCATTTGCTTTACCTCAAATCATTTTTACATGGAAAAATATTTGCTTTCTCTTTCTCTATTTCTCTATTTCTCTTTCTCTTTCATCTGCTCCTCTGTCTTTGTCTGTCTTTGTTTAGTTCCACCCCATCTCTCTCTTTCTCTGCTTCTCTCTCTCTCTCTCTCTCTCTCTCTCTCTGCTTCTCTCTCTTTCTCCATCTCTTTCTCTCTCTCTCTGCCTTTTCAGTTAGTTCTAAGGCATGTCAGTAGCAGATGTAGCTGTGTGTTATTACCATGTCATGAGCAGGATATAGCTGTGTGAACTGGATGAGCCAGTGGGGCTACTAGTCTATGGCTGTTCTTTAGAAATTCTGTTCAGTTTGTTTGCTCCGCTGCTGCCTAAATCCCATTTCCAGGATCTCTCTCTAACCCACTGTGTGTGTGTGTGTGTGTGTGTGTGTGTGTGTGTGTGTGTGTGTGTGTGTGTGTGTGTGTGTGTGTGTGTGCTGTCATCCATTCTCTCCCTCTATTTTCTCTCCTCTGCTCTCTCCATTCTCTCCTCCTTTCTCATGCTCTCCTTGCCCTGTCTCTTATATAATATAATAAGTGTGTGCTGTTTTTGTGTCCCTTCCTCTCTCTCTCTGTCTCTCTGCCTCTCTGTCTCGCCCTCTCTCTCTCTTTCACAGGGCTGGTGAGAATGGTACCTGACAGTCCGAGCCCAGAGCGCTTCACTTCCCCCCTCCCCTCCCACCGGCACAGCAACGGGCACAGCAACTGGCACAGACCTGGGCCCAGCAATGGCAGTGGTCTCCTGACGCCCTGTAACAGTGCTAGTAACTCCCGTGCTGCCAGGTCAGTGGAGGGGAAAAAAACTCTAAAGTCACAAAGTTTGTTAAAGGAACATGTTAGTGCGACTGTATTGTAAGTGAATAAGAGGAGGTATCTGATTGGCTGTCAGGAGGAGAGGGAAGGGATTGGGTGATTGGGTCAGAGTGGAGATGTAGTTGAAGTGAGGTGGCGTGTGATAAATTGGTCAGGTGAGTTTGCTAGGTGTGTGTGAGTGAAAGATACATGCAGCTCTGTCTGTGTGTGCATGTGTCTGTATGTTTGTACGTCTGTGTCTCATGTCTGACGACAATAATGTGAGAGGTGGACTCTGCTGACATGTATGTATTTTTCCTTCTCTCTCCAGCCCGAGTCTGGGACTGGTAAATCTGGTGGAGATTGAGAGGAGACTGAGGGAGGCCAAGGCAGAGAGAGAGAGGCTTCTCAAAGAGAGGGTGAGTCACCACCACTAACATCCCTAATCACTTCAGACACAGCATTAGACATGCCGGGTCATATTCATTAGGGCACACCGTAACAAAGCGGTTTAAAGACGTTTGTTTATTATTGGATGGTTAATTCAGGTAGTCCCTCCCTGTTTCAGTCAGTTTTCTTCTGTTTGTTGCTTAATGAACACAACCCTGTTGTGTGACCACTGACTGATTACCATAGAGAATTAACATGACCACCAGAAGAAAACAGACTGTGAAATGGAAAAACCCTTAATAGAAAACGAACAAAACTGAACTATGTCATCACTACTGTGTGTCTCCAACACCAAGGAAATACACTCCCCTGTGTATTTATTTGGACAGTGAAGCTAAATCTTGTTTTATATGATGTGTCAAGCACAGAATTTCACCTTTTATTTTAGGGTATTTTCATACATATCTGTTTTATGTTTAGAAATGAATGCACTTTATGTGTCTAGTGCCCCCATTTTGAAAGTGTCATAAGTATTTGGACAAATTCACTTATAGTGTATTAAATGTAGTCAAAAGTTTAGTATTTGGTCCCATATTCCTAGCACACAATGACTACATCAAGCTTGTGACTCTTGTTGGATGCATTTGCAGGTTGTTTTGGTTGTGTTTTAGATTATGTTGTGCCCAATAGAAATTAATGGTAAATAATATATTGTGTCATTTTGGAGTCACTTTTATTGTAAATAAGAATAGAATATGTTTCTGAGCACTTCTACATTAATGTGGATGCTACCATGATTACGGATAATCATGAATGAATCGGGAATAATGATGAATGAGAAAGCTACAGATGCACAAAGATCATGCCCCCAAAACATGCTAACCTTTTTAAGTGAATTTGTCCAAATACTTATGACACCTTCAAATGGGGGGAGAGATGCATAAAGTGCTTCATTTCTAAACGGTAAAACAGATACAGTGAGGGAAAAAAGGATTTGATCCCCTGCTGATTTTGTACGTTTGCCCACTGACAAAGAAATGATCAGTCTATAATTTTAATGGTAGGTTTATTTGAACAGAGAGAGACAGAATAACAACAACAAAATCCAGAAAGACGCATGTCAAAAATGTTATAAATTGATTTGCATTTTAATGAGGGAAATAAGTATTTGACCACCTCTCAATCAGAAAGATTTCTGGCTCCCAGGTGTCTTTTATACAGGTAACGAGCTGAGATTAGGAGCACACTCTTAAAGGGAGTGCTCCTAATCTCAGCTTGTTACATGTATAAAAGACACCTGTCCACAGAAGCAATCAATCAATCAGATTCCAAACTCTCCACCATGGCCAAGACCAAAGAGCTCTCCAAGGATGTCAGGGACAAGATTGTAGACCTACACAAGGCTGGGATGGGCTACAAGACCATCGCCAAGAAGCTTGGTGAGAAGGTGACAACAGTTGGTGCGATTATTCGCAAATGGAAGAAACACAAAAGAACTGTCAATCTCCCTCGGCCTGGGGCTCCATGCAAGATCTCACCTCGTGGAGTTGCAATGATCATGAGAATGGTGAGGAATCAGCCCAGAACTACACGGGAGGATCTTGTCTATGATCTCAAGGCAGGTGGACCATAGTCACCAAGAAAACAATTGGTAACACACTACGCCGTAAAGTACTGAAATCCTGCAGCGCCCGCAAGGTCCCCCTGCTCAAGAAAGCACATATACAGGGCCGTCTGAAGTTTGCCAATGAACATCTGAATGATTCAGAGGAGAACTGGGTGAAAGTGTTGTGGTCAGATGAGACCAAAATGGAGCTCTTTGGCATCAACTCAACTCGCCGTGTTTGGAGGAGGAGGAATGCTGCCTATGACCCCAAGAACCCCATCCCCACTGTCAAACATGGAGGTGGAAGCATTATCCTTTGGGGGTGTTTTTCTGCTAAGGGGACAGGACAACTTCACCGCATCAAAGGGACGATGGACGGGGCCATGTACCGTCAAATCTTGGGTGAGAACCTCCTTCCCTCAGCCAGGGCATTGAAAATGGGTCGTGGATAGGTATTCCAGCATGACAATGACCCAAAACACACGGCCAAGGCAACAAAGGAGTGGCTCAAGAAGAAGCACATTAAGGTCCTGGAGTGGCCTAGCCAGTCTCCAGACCGTAATCCCATAGAATATCTGTGGCGGGAGCTGAAGGTTCGAGTTGCCAAACGTCAGCCTCGAAACCTTAATGACTTGGAGAAGATCTGCAAAGAGGAGTGGAACAAAATCCCTCCTGAGATGTGTGCAAACCTGGCGGCCAACTACAAGAAACGTCTGACCTCTGTGATTGCCAAAAAGGGTTTTTCCACCAAGTACTAAGTCATGTTTTGCAGAGGGGTCAAATACTTATTTCCCTCATTAAAATGCAAATCAATTTATAAGTAGTAGTAAAGAGCCAAATTAAGTTTTAGCTTCACTATCCAAATAAATACGTAGGGGAGTGTATATGCCCCAGCCTAGATAATGTACTTAATATTAATCCCCCTGTATGCCTCTTTCTAAAAAAGAAAAACAAATTGAAGAAGGTCTTCGAAGGGAGGCACCTTCTCCTCCAATATGATTCATAAGGACGCGAGGAGATAGGATGCAAGGAAGCACGGAAAGGATAATTGAGATAGAGCCTGTGTGTTGATCCAGGAGGAAAGGAGGCAGGTGGTGGTGGAGGACAGGAGGCAGAGAGGGCTGGAGGGCAGAGGAGCAGCAGAACCAGTAGAGTCCCAGACCAGGCCAGACCCTGGCCCAGAGGAGCAGGCCAAAACCACCAGTCCAGTCCCCAGCTCCCCTGAGGTACGTCTGTCTGTCTGCTCTGGCTGGCTGGTTGTCAACTCTGTCTGTCTGGCTGCTCTGTCTGTCTGTCTGTCTGTCTATCTGGCTGGCTGGCTGCTCTGTCTGTCTGTATTGTCTGCCTGTCTGTCTGTGTTCTCTATAGCACTATATATCCTCTGTAGCTCAATTGGTAGAGCATGGCGCTTGTAACGCCAGGGTAGTGGGTTCGATCCCCGGGACCTCCCATACGTAAAAATGTATGCACACATGACTGTAAGTCGCTTTGGATAAAAGCGTCTGCTAAATGGCATATTATACACTGCTCAAAAAAATAAAGGGAACACTTAAACAACACATCCTAGATCTGAATGAATGAAATAATCTTATTAAATACTTTTTTCTTTACATAGTTGAATGTGCTGACAACAAAATCACACAAAAATTATCAATGGAAATCAAATTTATCAACCCATGGAGGTCTGGATTTGGAGTCACCCTCAAAATTAAAGTGGAAAACCACACTACAGGCTGATCCAACTTTGATGTAATGTCCTTAAAACAAGTCAAAATGAGGCTCAGTAGTGTGTGTGGCCTCCACGTGCCTGTATGACCTCCCTACAACGCCTGGGCATGCTCCTGATGAGGTGGCGGATGGTCTCCTGAGGGATCTCCTCCCAGACCTGGACTAAAGCATCCGCCAACTCCTGGACAGTCTGTGGTGCAACGTGGCGTTGGTGGATGGAGCGAGACATGATGTCCCAGATGTGCTCAATTGGATTCAGGTCTGGGGAACGGGCGGGCCAGTCCATAGCATCAATGCCTTACTCTTGCAGGAACTGCTGACACACTCCAGCCACATGAGGTCTAGCATTGTCTTGCATTAGGAGGAACCCAGGGCCAACCGCACCAGCATATGGTCTCACAAGGGGTCTGAGGATCTCATCTCGGTACCTAATGGCAGTCAGGCTACCTCTGGCGAGCACATGGAGGGCTGTGCGGCCCCCCAAAGAAATGCCACCCCACACCATGGCTGACCCACCGCCAAACCGGTCATGCTGGAGGATTTTGCAGGCAGCAGAACGTTCTCCACGGTGTCTCCAGTCTCTGTCACGTCTGTCACATGTGCTCAGTGTGAACCTGCTTTCATCTGTGAAGAGCACAGGGCGCCAGTGGCGAATTTGCCAATCTTGGTGTTCTCTGGCAAATGCCAAACGTCCTGCACGGTGTTGGGCTGTAAGCACAACCCCCACCTGTGGACGTTGGGCCCTCATACCACCCTCATGGAGTCTGTTTCTGACCGTTTGAGCAGACACATGCACATTTATGGCCTGCTGGAGGTCATTTTGCAGGGCTCTGGCAGTGCTCCTCCTGCTCCTCCTTGCACAAAGGCGGAGGTAGCGGTCCTGCTGCTGGGTTGTTGCCCTCCTACGGCCTCCTCCACGTCTCCTGATATACTGGCCTGTCTCCTGGTAGCGCCTCCATGATCTGGACACTACGCTGACAGACACAGCAAACCTTCTTGCCACAGCTCGCATTGATGTGCCATCCTGGATGAGCTGCACTACCTGAGCCACTTGTGTGGGTTGTAGACTCCGTCTCATGCTACCACTAGAGTGAAAGCACCGCCAGCATTCAAAAGTGACCAAAACATCAGCCAGGAAGCATAGGAACTGAGAAGTGGTCTGTGGTCACCACCTGCAGAACCACTTCTTTATTGGGGGTGTCTTGCTAATTGCCTATAATTTCCACCTGTTGTCTATTCCATTTGCACAACAGCATGTGAAATGTATTGTCAATCAGTGTTGCTTCCTAAGTGGACAGTTTGATTTCACAGAAGTGTGATTGACTTGGAGTTACATTGTGTTGTTTAAGTGTTTCCTTTATTTTTTTGAGCAGTGTATATTATATTACATCCTTTCTCCAACCTCTCCTTTCTCCCTGCTTATTGCTCTCTCAATCTGTCTTTCTTTCTTTCTGTCTGTCTCCTCACTTACCTTGTAACGTTGATCTGTTTTATTTTGCATATTTATAGTGAAATTAAAAACATTATACTCATTCTTCTTCTCAGCGCTCTCTACCTCTCTTCCTCTCTGCGAACTTTGACCTGCGGGCCCACGTGGAGTCGCTGGGTCATGGGGTGGCGAGGTGCATGGGCCTGCGTATGTCCCCACGCCGCTGTGCCGGTTTCTTGACCAAGCGAGGGGGGCGGGTCAAGACCTGGAGGAGGAGGTGGTTCCTCTTCGATATGGACCACAGGCGGCTAGCCTACTACACAGGTGAGGGGGCTGAGAGAGAGACTGTGTGTGCTGTGTTGGGTGTTGGAGGGGGAGTATGTGTGTATAAGCCTTAATGCTAGGGCTGTTGCGATGACCTTATTACCGCCACACCAGCAGTCATAAGTCATGACCGCAGTAAAATTCCAACTGACCGTTGAGTCACGGTAATCTCCTGTTATGCGCTCTGGACATGCTTTGGTAGTACCCAACTTGCTAACGACCATCAGGTCCTAATGGCCTGGTACTCAGGGCTCTATTGTCCCTCTAACCACTCGGACATCAATGCAAATGCAATCGAAAATCACATCAAACACTTATCATCAAAACAGTATAATGTTTTAAAACTCACCTCACTGTGATGATCAATTTGAAGAAAGAAGTTCAACAGCAGGTTGAAACTGAGTGGAAAACATGGTCATTGTAGAAGTTGTTTCAAAGCCTAAACACAACGAAATGGACAGTCTTCTAAGGTGATAATTAATTAAAAACACCCACAGGCATATTATAGCTTATGCATACACAGGCTTATTGGCCCAAGCCCGAAAACAAAAACATAATTAAAATTATGATTGTGCAGTTATACAATACTTACCGCATATTATGCATGGCAGAAAAACATAAAACAAAACTGATTTAAGATGTCTTTGGTGCATAATTGGTCGAGCCTATACTCCAAAATTAAACAAATTTGAGTAATTGCCTTTGAGTGTGGATTGTATTAGTATGCGTACTGGATGGACTGGTTATCTAATGCTATGCTCCAAAATTTATATCCACGAGTCTGGAAGAGAACGGATAGCCCTAGTCGATGCAGTTGGTTCATTGATTGTGCAGGACGATTTTGAATAGCCTAATTAATTGGGTGACACATTACCTTTAGCTATACAGAATATCTCACCACCATGCATTTCCATCTCCTCCTCTCGCTCCTTTATTCCTTTCTCGAGCAGGCAGACGGGCTGTCAACAGTTTAATGAAATATGTTTCTTTGCGAACACGTTACTATCCATGTTCCCGAAAATATTTCACTTAGTTTTCCAAATTAAGCAATGTGGTTAGCTGCAGTAACAGGGTTGGAGAGCCCATGGCATACAGAGTTTTGGTGGAATATCACCTGTTGTGCAGCGAGAGCATGCTCCTGAACAGTTCTTGATGCTTGGAGTGAAATAAGTGTTCTTCTATTTATTTATCAGCTGCTCATATTATGCACATGCTCCACTATATAACCAAAGTAGCTTACCTGTCATCATTGAAAAACGGACCGGTGGGAAAGCATGCGGCCTCCATTCGCTATTCGAGTGCATACAGATGAAGTATTTTTTTCCCTGCCCCTGTTCAATGCCCATTTGATAATGGGCCATTCTAAATCAAAACTAATTTAACATATTAGTAAAGACAAGATTAAATTGAGAATAGTCTGATGGGTGAAAATGTAATCATTTGATGAGAGAACAGCTGTGCAGCCTGAGGCAAGGAACAGAATCGCAAGCTTTTTTTGATACTTTCTCAAATCATCAAAAGCCTATAGTCGCATCATGCAGGGACGCAACTTTGGTTTTAGAAGTGGGGGGGACATAATTGATTTTAATTATAATACTTTTTTCAGTCAGATAAACACTCCAAACAGCCTACCCGACCGCTCGGAGGCGTCCGCATGGTGCTAAAGCACACAGTTGCCTCGTTTTGTATCACATTCCAATGATACAACTGTGGGGGACAAAAATGCAATTTCAGAATGTGGGGGGGGGCATGTCCCCCCCCCCCCCGTCCCCAGTGAAAGTTGCGCCCCTGGCATGCAGCCCATATATGTTTTGATTTCTAAGGTTTGTATCATTCACAACCTATGTTGCCAAATAACTCTAAATCTAGCATATAGGACCTGTTTCAAGTGATCACTTTTACGCTCAACATAGCCACTTCATATGCGCACTCGCTCCGGAATGGGGAAAAATATCCTTTCTATTTTATATTCTTCTTGCTATAAAATCATATAAATATAAAATAATGGCATGGGACTTAGAAGCATATCTAGTCAGCTAAATGAACAAGCCTACAGCCTATGGCCCTCAAACTAAACTGGACCTCAAAGCCAGTTCCATTGCATTTCTTTTATTGTTCCCCTCTAATTAGGGACTGATTTAGACCTGGGACACCAGGTGTGTGCAATGAATTATCAGGTAGAACAGAAAACCAGCAGGCTCTGGACCTCGTAGGGTAACAGTTGAGTACCCCTGGCCTATGGCATTGAGCATAACCAGATAACTGTCACGCCCTGGCTCTGGGGACTCTAATATGTTGAGCCAGGGTGTGTAAAGTCTATGTGTGTTGTTCTAGGTTTCACATTCTGGTATTGTGGTTCTATGTTGGCCAGTGTGGTTCTCAATCAGAGGCAACGTGATTCAGCTGTTGCTTGTTGTCTCTGATTGAGAACCATACTTTAGCAGCCTGTTTCCCCACAGAGTTTGTGGGATCTTGTTTCTAGTCTGTTGTGTTAGACCGTGAACTGTCACGTTTTCGTTTTGTTGGTTTTGATTGTGTCTCTAATAAAGAGTATGTTTGCCTGCAATGCTGCGCCTTGGTCCTCATCTCTGTTCGACGATCGTGACAATAACATACAGTGGCTTGCGAAAGTATTCACCCCCCTTGGCATTTTTCCTATTTTGTTGCCTTACAACCTGGAATTAAATTAGATTTTTTTGGGGGTTTGTATAATTTGATTTTGAAGATGCAAAATATTTTATATTGTGAAACAAACAAGAAATAAGACAAAAAAACAGAAAACCCCCGCCAAAGTCAATACTTATAGAGCCACCTTTTGCAGCAATTACAGCTGCAAGTCTCTTGGGGTATGTCTCTATAAGCTTGGCACATCTAGCCACTGGGATTTCTGCCCATTCTTCAAGGCAAAACTGCTCCAGCTCCTTCAAGTTGGATGGGTTCCGCTGGTGAACAGCAATCTTTAAGTCATACCACAGATTCTCAATTGGATTGAGGTCTGGACTTTGACTAGGCCATTCCAAGACATTTAAATGATTCCCATTAAACCACTCAAGTGTTGCTTTAGCATTATGCTTAGGGTCATTGTCCTGCTGGAAGGTGAACCTCCATCCCAGTCTCAAATCTCTGGAAGACTGAAACAGGTTTCCCTCAAGAATGTCCCCGTATTTAGCGCCATCCATCATTCCTTCAATTCTGACCAGTTTCCCAGTCCCTGTCGATGAAAAACATCCCCACAGCATGATGCTGCCACCACCATGCTTCACTGTGGGGATGGTGTTCTCGGGGTGATGAGAGGTGTTGGGTTTGCACCAGACATAGTGTTTTCCTTGATGGCCATAAAGCTCAATTTTATTCTCATCTGACCAGAGTACCTTCTTCCATATGTTAGGGGAGTCTCCCACATGCCTTTTGGCGAACACCAAACGTGTTTGCTTATTTTTTTCTTTAAGCAATGGCTTTTTTCTGGCCACTCTTCCGTAAAGCCCAGCTCTGTGGAGTGTACGGCTTAAAGTGGTCCTATGTACAGATACTCCAATCTCCGCTGTGGAGCTTTGCAGCTCCTTCAGGGTTATCTTTGGTCTCTTTGCCTCTCTGATTAATGCCCTCCTTGCCTGGTCTGTGAATTTTGGTGGGTGGCCCTCTCTTTGTTTGTTGTGGTGCCATATTCTTTCCATTTTTTTATAATGGATTTAATGGTGCTCCGTGTGATTTTCAAAGTTTCTGATATTTTTTAATAACCCAACCATGATCTGTACTTCTCCACAACTTTGTCCCTGACCTGTTTGGAGAGCTCCTTGGTCTTCATGGTGCCACTTGCTTGGTGGTGCCCCTTGCTTAGTGGTGTTGCAGACTCTGGGGCCTTTCTGAACAGGTGTGTATATACTGAGGTCATGTGACACTTAGATTGCACACAGGTGGACTTCATTTAACTAATTATGTGACTTCTGAAGGTAAGTGGTTGCACCAGATCTTATTTAGGGGCTTCATAGCAAAGGGGGTGAATACATATGCACGCACCACTTTTCTGTAATTTATATTTTCGAATTTTTTGGAACAAGTTATTTTTTTTCACTTCACCAATTTTGACTATTTTGTGTATGTCCATTACATAAAATCCAAATAAAAATCAATTTAAATTACAGGTTGTAATGCAACAAAATAGGAAAAACGCCAAGGGGGATGAATACTTTTGCAAGGCACCGTACAGTAGGCCAACTCATATTCTGTTCTTCTGAAATACATTTTCTTCATATCATAATGTTTCTTTAGACCTGCCTAAAATAAATAATGGATTTATTGTGATGGTATATATTCAATTGATTTATTATACTTTTAAAAAATGTAGATGTTGCAAATGCGCACATCAGTGGCTTGTATGTAGCTTGTTTGCGTGGAGGCCTGGAGATACTAAATGTGTTTGTTAATTGCTGGTCAATTAATGTGAGACTGGTAGTTTTTTGCATGAAAATAACCGGCTGACAAAATTTCATGACCGCCACAGCCCTACTAAATGCCTTTGCGATTTGTGTCTGTCTCTCTCTCTCTCTCCCTCTCTCTCTCTCTCTCTCTCTCTCTCTCTCTCTCTCTCTCTCTTTCTTGCTCTCTTTCTCTCTCTAATTGACTGTTGTTTACTTTCAGACTGTGATGAGAGGAAGCTAAAGGGGGTGATCTACTTCCAGGCTATAGAGGAAGTCTACTATGACCACCTGCGCACAGCCACTTCAGTGAGTCCTCATATACAGTATCTTATCACCATAGAGAGGGAACAATGTGCCCATGATATCACCACAACTGTTAAAGAGATGATCCATTCATGCATTCAATGCTTGAGTATCCCATCTCTCTCTCTCTCTCTCTCTCTCTCTCTCTCTCTCTCTCTCTCTCTCTCTCTCTCAGTCTCCGCGGCCCAGCCTTACGTTCTGTGTGAAGACGTACGAGCGTCTCTTCTTCCTGGTGGCACCCAGCGCCGAGGCCATGAGGATCTGGATGGACGTCATCGTCACGGCAACAGACGAGCACAGCCGCTACTGAAGTTGACTTTACAGGAAGGGGTTCCTGTGTCTGACCTACCCCTGGGGCTGAACCTCCATTCACCTGGCTGACCTGGCAAAGCTGGCTACAGTTTCAGCAGTTTACATTATGTGGGGGAAAACTGCAATCTTCAACCTCCACCCTCCAATGCGTGTAAAACCCAGCTAGGCAGCCATTTTGATGCCTGAACTTTACCTCATATGAGTGGTTGAGGTGAAGGTGAGGAGTGATGAGCAGAACATAATGTTCAGGAAAGCTCTCCCTGAAGGAACTGACAATTGATTCAGGATAGTTTCTTAGGAGCTTTGATGGGACTGAGTGGCAGTCTGTTACAGGTTCTGTGTGGAACAAGAGACGTTTAGAGGATGGCGGAGGGACAAGGCCATGGGAATATAAAGACTTGGACGTGAAAGCTGGAGCAACCATTGAACATCTTAGAGTCAGTGCCAACCATGATTTACTGACAGACAAACCTTTGATGTATTTTTATTAGACTCAAATCAGGATTTACTGGTTGGTGTCTCTCTAGCAGCTGTGTTTGAGCTCCCTCTTGTGGCCAGAATGAAGTATTGAAGTACCACAGCTTCATTGAAATATACAGGTAACTGCCAAAATAAAGGAAACACCAGCATAGTGTGTCTTAATAGGGCGTTGGGCCACCATGAGCAAGAACAGCTTCAATGCACCTTGGCATGGATTCTGCAAGTGTCTGGAATTCTATTGGGGGGATGCGACACCATTCTTCCATAAGAAATTCCATAATTTTGTGTTTTGTTGATGGTGGAAAACGCTGTCTCAGGCGGCGCTCCAGAATCTCTCATAAGTGTTCAATTGGCTTGAGATCTGGTGACTGAGTCGGCCATGGCATATGGCTTTACATCATGTTAATTTTCATCAAACCATTCAGTGACCACTCGTGCCCTGTGGATGGGTGCATTGTCATCCTATGGGGGCATAGCCATGGTAGCCAAAATAATGCCCAGAATAATGGCCTGCCCAGCATTTTTATACATGACCCTAAGCATGATGGGATGTTAATTGTTAATTAACTCAGGAACCACACGTGTGGAAGCACCTGCTTTCAATTTACTTTGTATCCCTCATTAACTCAAGTGTTTCCATTATTTTGGCAGTAACCTGTACATATATGTCTATATTCAATATATGTATATTTTTCATCCGTCAAAAGGGCTGTTCAGAGTCAATAAAAACACTGACCGAACATTCAGTTCTCAAAATGGATGTTTAATTTTTTTATACACTGGTCACGTTGCGTGCGTGAGCGTTGCAAAATAAATTTACACACGTTATTCAATCATCCACACTGCTCGTGCGCATCAACGAGTGTCTGCGATGCCAAATGCTGAAATAGAAGTTGGGAGTATAGCGTTAGTCAGAACCCACGCTGTTCTCAGGGCAGGTCTGCTGGTTTTGACTAGCAAAAGTGACTTTTCTTTTTCGCAGCAGGTTAGGAGAACTTACGCAACAGGTTAGGAACATTTACGTGGCAGGTTAAGAAAATTAGGTTAAGGTTAGTGTTATTTTTGTATGATCCGGGTCAAAATTCAACAAAGAACCAGCTTTTTCAGCTGCATGATCAGATAAAATAATAACCAAATGTTCATCTCCCAGTGCAAACTGCTAGCAACAGCTATCTACACTCTTAGAGAAAAGGTGCTATCTAGAACCTTAAAGGGTTCTTCGGCTGTCCCCATAGGAGAACCATTTGAAGAACCCTTTTTGGTTGCAGGTAGAACCCATTTGGTTCCAGCTAGAACCCTTTTAGGTTCCATGTAGAACCCTTTCTACAGAGGGTTCAACATGGAACCCAAAAGGGTTCTACCTGGAACCAAAAATGGTTTCTCCTATGGGGACAGCCGAAGAACCCTTTTGGAACCCTTTTTTCTAGGAGTAGAGCTAAGTGTCCGTGAAAGTTTCATGTGTGTTTCGACCTGTCCCCAAATTAATATAGCTGGTTCACAGTTAGTTTTGGCATTTTAAGCTGTGTGTCATGATCTCTGGTGGGGATAGACAAAATCAACATGCACAGGATGATGCACGCGGGCGCACCCACAGGGCCGGTGTAGCCATGGTTTCAGGGTGCAATGGTGGCACCCAATGAATTTACTCTCTTCAAACATTGTCTACATTTTTACAGACCACCCCAAGAACTCCTCAGTGTCAGTCAGTCCCTCTGGTCTAGTGGTCGAGGGCAGCTCTGTGTGGTCAAATATGAGTTTCAATATTTCATATACTAGCAGACTATCCAGAGGACTGAAGGTATGTCGGTAGCACTTTATCTTACTGTACAGAAATTACTTTGCAATTACCTAGAAATGACAAGGTAATAATTGTTTGTACATGTTTTAATGACAGTAATAGATAACTTTTTGTTATTACCTAGAAATAACCCTTTTAATATTGTTAAATAATCTTCTTGTTCTTGATTTCATTGTGCTGTTGCTGTTAAATATTGTATTATGTGAGGCACTTATTGCCAACAAAGGGCCAGGCAGCATATGACACATACGCCACACTACAGATCTCCAATGTGACCTCTACTGATGAGGTCAAACAGGTGAGAGCACTCTTCAGGCTATTATTTATGATGATTGGCATACATAAAATCATGATAGTTTTCACACTTTTGGAAATGTGTATATAAGAAGCATTTATTTGACCACATATAACGTGTGTGTTTGTGTGTGTAAGTGTGTGCGCTCGTGCGTTCGTGTGTGTGTCAGAGGAAACGTGGCAGCAGAGGAGCACAGAGAGAGCCCAGTGGCAGTGATATGTGAACGCTGCAGAGGGGAGAGAGACAGTAACACCATGATCGTAGCTCTGGATTCAGGGCTTTTGCTGTACCTGAGAAAGTGCATACAGCAAGGATCAGTGATTTCTTTTGGCCCCCCAAAGTTTAAAAATATAATTTTTTTGGTTTAAGAAAAATTCTGTAAATGCACCAGGAATTCCGCTAGAAATTATTTTAATTTAGGAAATCTGTTCCCAAGTATTCCTAGAGACGTGATCAATGTTATCAAGGTAGGAAATTATCATGATATTTTCAAATAAAATCTATTTTGGGGCTTACTTGTGGTCAATTTGCAGTGTACAAATGATTATAATTGTGTCCCGGCACCCCTGACCATCCGCTCTGACAAAAATTGGCATGTGGCTGAATGTAGTTGCCTACACCTGGCATACAGGATCTGTGGTAGATCTCACCAGAACTTTGTTCTCAGGTAGTTTATTGAGTAGTAGCAATGGAGAGCAACAATTTATGCAACATGAATTTGTCAAACGCGTAATCTCCATCAGCCACCGATTTCTTGCATAGTTATTGCCCCATTATCATGGAACGTGTTGTAAAAAGACTTGACCATTTCATTACAATTGTGGATTTAAATCCCTGACCCCCGTCCTGTGTCTGCCTGACCTATCTGTGGACTGTTACAGGTTCTGCGTGGAACAAGATCATTTTAGAGGACGAAGGAAGGACAGCCTTGGGAATATGACAATGTGGACCTGTAAGCTGGAGCAACCATTGGACAGCTTCGAGTCACTGCCAACCATGACACAGTATACTGACAGACAAACCTTAATTTGTTTATTTGTCTCAAATCACTAAAAACCCTGACCGTGCATTCAGCTTACAAAATGTATTGTTGTTTGTTTGACAATATCAACACAGGAATACTATATGCTTCTACATATAAATATGAATGATTCTTATTATTATTATTATCACTATTAAAGGTTATTCATACACTTTTGTTTACTCTTTTTGTGAAAACAACCTTCCCTACTGATTTACATTGCTTCAATGTCTACTTTAAAACGGCCACTTTTTAATTATGCTTTTATTTGTATTCTTTTAACTTTTCTTTCTTGCAAGACAGCTATTGAGCAATGCAAACTGGCACCCATAATTGTAGATAAATATTTCAGATCTAATAATTCTAGTATTGACCATTTCACATTTATAGGAATTGAATGGGAACAATGTTCCTTTAACCCCAACTGTTGTAACATGAAGAGGGCAGCTGGTATATTTGGGGCGGCAGGTAGCCTCGAGGTTAGAGCATTGGGCCAGTAACTGAACAGTTGCTGGTTCGAGTACCAGCGCCGTCAAGGTAAGAAATATGTCGCTGTGCCTTTGTGCAAGGCACTTAGCCCTAATTGCAATGGTGACCCCTCCTCTGCATGTGTCTCAGGGGGAGTTGGGATATGCAAGAAAACGCATTTCCATTACACACTTGTGTGTAACAGGACAAATATAAGGACCCTCCAAATTATTATTTGTTGAAATATAACTATATCAAAATGTATCTCAGTTTCCAAATTAAGAAGAAGATATTGTTGCATTTAGTTCCTCATCTGTTTCGGGAAGGGTGTGTGTGTATCAAAGGAAGTGGTGCACTGCAGTTACAACAGCCACTGGAGTGGCAGAAAGAGGCCAGAAAGCACTGCTGCTCATCTGGTAAGAGTTGAACAATAATTTAAAAAATTCTAAATGTTTTTACTTATTTTAACTTATCTTTAACTATTGTAGTATTTCACTAGCCTCTGTTAATAATGTGACGTTATGTGATGTTATATTTTATAAACTGGGTGGTTCGAGTCCTGAATGTTTATTGGCTGAAAGACGTGGTATATCAGATTGTATACCATGGGTACTATTTACTGGTCTAATTACGTTAGCTGAACCGTCCCGTATACGGGTACCTAAGACGTTGTATTTCATGTAAATCTTTTTTTAAATTATTGTTATATATATGTATACTACCATTCAAACGTTTGGGGTCACTTAGAAATGTCCTTGTTTTCCAAAGAAAAGCATTTTTTTTGTCCATTAAAATAACATCAAATTAATCAGAAATACAGTGTAGACATTGTTAATGTTGTAAATGGTTATTGTAGCTGGAAACGGCTGATTTTTAATGGAATATCTACATAGGCGTACAGAGGCCCATTATCAGCAACCGTCAGTCCTGTGTTCCAATGGCACGTTGTGTTTGCAAATCCAAGTTTATCCTTTTTTTTAAAGGCTAATTGATCATTAGAAAACCCTTTTGCAATTATGTTAGCATAGCTGAAAACTGTTGTGCTGATTAAAGAAGCAATACAACTGGCCTTCTTGAGACTAGTTGAGTATCTGGAGCATCAGCAATTGTGGGTTTGATTACAGGATCAAAATGGCCAGAAAAAAAGAACTTTCTTCTGAAACTCGTCAGTCTATTCTTGTTCTGAGAAATGAAGGCTATTCCATGCTAGAAATTGCCAAGAAACTGAAGATCCCGTACAACGCTGTGTACTACTCCCTTCACAGAACAACGCAAAATGTCTCTAACCAGAATAGAAAGAGGAGTGGGAGGCCCCGGTGCACAACTGAGCAAGAGGACAAATACATTAGTGTCTAGTTTGAGAAACAGACGCCTCACAGGTCCTCAACTGGCAGCTTCATGAAATAGTACCCGCAAAACACCAGTCTCAACGTCAACAGTGAAGAGGCGACTCCGGGATGCTGACCTTCTAAGCAGAGTTGCAAAGAAAAAGCCATATCTCAGACTGCCCATCTTAATCTTTTCTTTATATTGGCCAGTCTGAGATATGGCT